ATTATTTTAGTATTGCTGGGGATTTTAATATTCACATTGATAATCCAGAAATCAATGCTGTAAAAGAACTGATGACTGTTTTTAACACTTTTGATCTGACTCAGCATGTTCAAGGACCCACACACAATCGTGGACACACTCTTGATCTACTTATAACTAAGGGTTTACACATTTCATCGACTGTTGTTAAGGATGTGGCACTATCTGATCATTTCTGTATCTTTTTTGATATATTGATCACTCCAGCTATTAAAGACAGATCTGTCTCTGTCAGAAAGAGATGCATAAATGAGAACACCAGTGAGCAGTTTATGAAAGCCATATCGCTGGCACCAAGTATATCTGCAGATTCTGTTGATTCTCTCCTTGATTTGTTCAATTCTAAAATTGAGAATGTCATAAATGACATCGCTCCTGTTAAAGTCAAGAAGATGACTGGCAGGCAAAAGGGATCTTGGACAAGGTCACTGAAAGTACAAATGATGAAAAGACAGTGCAGAAAAGCTGAGCGTATGTGGAGAAAGACGAAACTAGTAGTCCATTATAACATCTATAAAGACAGTCTTCATGCCTTTAATATGGAACTAAACACTGCTAGACAGACTTTCTTTTCAAGCCTTATAAACAGCAACTTAAATAATGCTCGCACACTCTTTGCAACGATAGAGAGACTCACAAACCCCCCCAGTCAGATTCCAAGTGAGCTCCTCTCTGAAAGCAAATGTAATGAGTTTGCTCATTTCTTCACTGATAAGATTAATAATATCAGAAAGGCAATCAGCTCATCCAATCAGCCAAGTTGTGTCGATATCAAACAAGCTCAACCACAACTTAAGAAATCAGACATTATGTCTGATTTCATGGCAATTAACGGTAAAATCTTAGAAGAGACTGTGCAAGTTATGAAAACATCAACCTGCAGTCTTGACACGCTTCCCACATCATTCTTCAAAACGGTGTTTACCTGTTTAGAAATGGATCTTCTAAAAGTGATGGAGAAAAGTGTTTGCTTTAGTTGGGCTCATAGCTCATAGGATTTTTGTACTTTGCCAAACCCAGCAAGTGTAAGGTGTAGGCCAGATCTGGGCCAGAATAAAAGCAAACTGTGGCCCAGAATAGGGTCAGTTCTGGTTCATTTGGTTGAATTCTGGCTGATTTGTGATATTGGTATGATTTAATTGTGGCCCAGATCTGGCAAACTGGAGCGGACCGTCAAAGTGCCATCATGCGGTATGTGGGCCGGCTGTAAGTGTCTGGTGTGGGATGGATTTGAGACACATGTATTTTGCTAGAGGGGGAATAGTTTTTAAAAGAAGCATTTTAACTAAGAACATTTTGTGAAACGAAGTTTCCATTGATGTCTGAGGTTTTTTCATGGAAGCATCAAAGGCAATAAGGAACCTTTATTTAATAAAAAACCAGGATAGTAGATCCAAGGGGCTGCACAGCTCTCCTCACTAATGACAAAAGCCCTCCCACATTCTTTATCTCATCGCTCTGTGAGGTTATGCAGAGCTGTCCATTACTGCCAGGGCCAATCAGTCACTTCCTCCTTTGGGATGCTTCTCTGTGTCCCATTAACAGGCTGAGGGCAAGTAGTGTTTGGCAAAGGGCAGATGTGAGAGAGATGAAGCAGCGGTGGGGTAGATGTGCCAAATGAGAAAGAGAGAGAGGCACAGGCTGTTTTCTATTTGTGCGGATTAGACTGACAGATCTGTATTTGGTTTCGAGGGGCCTCAGGCTTCAGCTAATCCTCATCACCTGCAGACCAGTGCCCCCTTCAAAATGTCTTCAAACTCCCCCCTTCTGCGGCCTTATAACCCTGTACTTCGGCCCAACAAAGCTAACACTCGCCCTGAGACAAAAACCGCACACTACGCGAGGTCGACTGTAACCTCAGCCTAGGAAGAGAGATAGTCTGCCTCTTTGTACCCTTTCACAATCTATTAGAGTCGGCTGTGAGGTGTTGCTGTGTTGGATTTGGAGAGATAGTAATTATCTGCAGATTAAACTCAAGTGTTACGGAAACTGCTTGTCAATGTCACTCAAGAAAAGAGGAAAAGATGCCCAGATGCTCAGCGAGGAGCCCTATGGAGGTTTTCAGGTCAGGTCAGGGTCAAAGGACCTCTGTCTCCCTTAGTCTCACAGTTTTTTCACACATTGTCAACAAGATCAGTTCCCTCTATTGATGTCCTAATTAACATAAAATTTGGATTTCATTTCAAGCTGAACACACAGTAACAGTACATATAATTGTTAAAATAATTTGTTTACCTATTTAATTGAACTATACTACAAACTAAGTATAGAGCTTGATATTAATATAAAATTAATGGTCACACTTTATTTTGATGGTCCATATTAGTAGACTGTGTGCTTAATATCTGTTGATACCGCTCCTCCAACAGACATTTAACTGACTATAATAAACTTTGCAAGTACATGTCAACTTAGACTAACCCTAAACCTATACAATCTATTTATGGGCCATTGAGTTGAGTAAAAAAACTTTATCAAAATTAACGTAACATAGCCTCATTATTTAAAAAAAATCAAAAAAACATTTGTCTAGTTTTAGGATCTGTATGAGGACAAACTTAGATAAGAAGAGGAAGATGTTTTTCCATCGTGAACTTAACAAATCTCAATTTCACCACATCTCAATATACAGGCTATTTCAAAATGAAATACATTATGGCAGTCAAACATTGTCTAAGATCATATTTGTATGTAGTTTAACCATATCTTCCACAAATTATATAATAATTGTACATTTGTCAATGAAATAAATGAGTTGTATGCTGAATTATACACTTGTCACACTCTAAAATGTAATATTAATTTGGTTAAAATTAATAAAAATAAAATAAATAAATTGAATTTCTTTATTAAATAAAGCATGAACTTATACACTTTTAATGTGTGATGATAACTTTTTAAAAAAAAATTTAAAAATGTGTGTGGTGATGGAAAGAAAGTGGTGGAAATGACATTTCTACAGTTTATTGTGAAAAAATTAAAAATAGATTCACTGATTAGCTTTGAATTGATACTAGCCTTACATGTATACAAAACACACTTATTTACCTTAATTTTATTTGGTTTTTAAAAACATCTTTGAAGGTACAACATGTTTGGAAATGACGTAGAATAAATGTATTTCCTTATCAACCAATATTTACCTTGATTTTTCTTCAAGTGTTGTAGATAAAAAATGAAATTCTCTCCATATTGAGCATGTTCTCAGTTGACACTATTCATTTTCATAGAAACCACCTAAATTATCTTCCACACAAACCTTTAAAAGCGACATTAGAGGGTTGTGGTGGAAATTACACTGATACTGTGCGACAGCTATATTTTATATAAAAAATAATATTAATAATCTCACATTAATAACTATAAATATTTCAATTATTTCACTAGTGCTTTATGAAGATACATTAATAGATCCCAGATAAATATTATTTTAAGATGTTATTTTCATTGTTGAAGTTTAAAACTCTGGGTGTGCGACAAGTGAAAACAGTGATTTTGACACCTAAAAGGAGATTGAATATGAGGAAAAAAATATATAATAGAAAGGTAGTAATTTTTTAAGTAGTTTTTATTCTTAGTTTGACAAATAAAGAGGAATTTGAACTAAATTATAAATATTTTTGGATACATGATCAAAGAACATACAAGTGGCCGTATAGTATTACCCTTATAGTCTAATGAGAATTAGTTGGCATGTAGACGCAATGTAACTTAAATTCAACAAATGGACCATCAAAATAAAGTGTGGCCAAATTAATTAATTGCAAGGCACCTAAAAGAATGTACAGTTTAATTAATTTTTATTTCTAATAAGTGCACTTTTAAATAAGTGGTAGATTATGGATGGATTTTATTTGATAAGAAAAAGACTTTCTGTCATTTCTATTTTTTGCATGTCATATGCAGTAAATTGCAATTAAAGTAAATATGTGTTATTTGTATTGAACGATTACAACTATTGAATATAAATATGTTATGCAAATTTAGAAGTACAATATACATGTATCACATTACCTGAAAACATATGTAAGTGTCTTTATATATTAATGTTTCCTAACGACATACATTCGCCACTTCACTTTGAAAGTATTACAAAAATATAATGAAGTATTACACAATTGCATCACTTAAAAAGTGCCTCAAACCCCTATTAAATAATTGGATTTAATAAAACTGCAAACAAAGGTTTGCAAAACTAAAAATATTGCATTAAATAGGCATTAGTGTATTTTATACTATTTAAATTATCAGTAATTAGAAATCAGTAACTATTTTTCAAGTAAGCCTACGTAAAGTTAAGACAGAATTAAACGTTAACATGTTAGGCGCGTACTACCAGGATTCTTGTTATCTTTTAAGGATGTCCTGTTGGGTTTTTTCAATACTCCTGATGAGAAAAGTAAGGAATATTTTATTATTAATCTCCTTTTAATCCTTGCTAAATTTCATATACACCGCTGTAAATTCTCTCAGCGTATACCTTGTTTTATTGTCTTTGAAAAGGAAATTCAACAGTACATTAGAACTATTGCTTCCTCTAAAAATCTTAAGGCTATTAGAACTGTTAACTTATTTTCATTTTTTAATTTTCTTAACACAAGTTAATTTTATTTGTTTTTCTTTTGTTGTTGTTTTCTCCTTTATGTGTTTATTTAATGCTTTACTCCTCTGTAAAACTCATGTACACCTTTTTGTAACAAATTTGTATGATGTTGTTATTGTTACGTTACCCTGGCATCAAAATAAATAAATAAATAAATAAATAAATAAATAAATAAATAAATAAATAAATAACAACATGTCAGGCGCGCGCCAGGCAGGCAACCTTCCGATCTGCTCAGCGTGCACACAACCGTTAACTGCTCACTTGAAGCGTTCGCGCTCAGTTATAGTATTGTTTAACTGAAATTACATATCAATACCTTGTTTATGATATTTCGTAGTGTCTTCCTTGGTAATTTTCTCATCTAGCGGTTTATTATCTTAAATTTGACTTCCTTTCCGACGACCTGGGGAACTTCTGACGCTAATTTGCTAACCTGCATCCACTTAACGTAACGTTAGCAGTTACACACAACAGCGAACTGCGGACAAAACATTAACCACTTCGACTACGGTTCACACACTGCATTTCAATGGCTTACCAGTTTACTGAGGTAGATAAGTTGAGGGAAGCGCTGTGCGAGAGTCTGGAAACGGTCGACAGATGCCAGGAGGACATCAGCAGGTGACTAGCATTAACGTTGGCAGTAATATAATGTTTTAATTCTAGTTAACGCTGCCTTTATTTTCGTCTGTTTGACTCCCTCGTTCACAGCCAGGATGTTTTGACGCGCATCGAGAAAGTCATTGAGAGGATTGTCATCGATGTGTCTAAAGGTGAAGCACCTGTGCTGAGACTTATAAATAGATCCTGCTGGAACAATGTCAGGTGTGTGTGTGTGTGTGTGTGTGTGTGTGTGTGTGTGTGTGTGTGTGTGTGTTTGTGTTTGTTTGTGTCATGCTTATTTATACAGTCCATCTATCTATCTATCTATCTATCTATCTATCTATCTGTCTGTCTGTCTGTCTGTCTGTCTGTCTGTCTGTCTGTCTGTCTGTCTGTCTGCACAGTATGTTGGTCTGTTGTTCTATTTATCTATCTGGATATCAATGTATGGATCTGCCTGTATATCTATCTATTGAAATCCTAAGTAAAAAGAGCCAGAGAAACGTTTTGATAATGGTAAATTGAGCTTATTTTGTCCTAAAATGTAGTACTAAATGTAGTATTTAGGTTTAAAGTTAAAATCATGCTCGGCAGAAACATCAGAATTTAAATCGGCTTCCTGTAAAGAAGAATTAAATGTAAATATTCCACTTGATGAATGGGAGGAAATATGTACAAAAGTTCAATCCTTAACATTTACAGTTCTTTTTAATTGTCTTAGGTGCATTTCACACAACATTATTTAAAATTGCACAACAGTTAATGCATATCTCAAAACAATTAATACAAACTGCACAACCTAGTAGATAACCTGCAAAAGCATGCCACTTCTTGCTAAAAATGGATATCTCATTGCTCAAAAGCAATTATTGATGTCAATGAAAATGTCAGTGGCATCAAGATGAAAAGTCCTGACATCATTGTTTATGAACATAGTCAAATGGCTTTGTCATGTTTTCATTATGACAGTTTACTCTGTACATTTTTTTCCAATGCAAAAAAGTCAGATTTTGGTGACCCTTCCTGAAAACGCTCAAGACAGCACTGTAAACAATTTGCAAAGCCATTTGAAAACCAAAGTAAAGTTAGACATTACTGCATTTAGTGAAGTATCTGAGTACAACACACTGAATATGTACAGTGTGTTTCACATTTTTACTGCATTTGCTCTTTGCTATTCTAATTTATATACAGCATTGTGCAAAAGAATAAATACAGCCTTATTTACAACAAACATAAACGTCCTTTGGGTAGAGCTGTGCACAGCTGGAAAAAATATTGCAGTACATATCGGAACTGAACCTACAACATACACAGATCTATAAATTATTAATAAAATTGTTCAGTTTAGAAGAAAAAAGATTTAAAAGATTTTATAAAATTTGCTTAACAGATTTTGACAACTAGTTCAACATTTTTGCATGGAATGACTCAAGTAATGAAATGAGGACTATTAGTTTTATATGGAATGACTATTCAGCATTTATAAGTTGAGTTAATTTTGACCGGCATGACACAAGCAAATGATAATGTTATAAAACAGCAGAGAGTTGTATGAAAGCAATTGATGCATGTCCAAAATCATTCACAATTTGTTGGAAGGAATGAGAAACTGCTACTATGATGTGCACAAATGGCTAATTGTTTTGAGAAATGTATTAACTGTTGTGCAAATGTTCATAGTGTTTTGAGAAATGCACCAAAGCGACTGAGAAAAACTGTAAATGAAACTAAAAAAGTTTAATAAAAGAAACTAAAAAAAGAAAAAAACCTTTATGAACTGTGTGTGCTGAATCACTATTTTGTAATATTAGAAATACATCAGCAAAATGTTTTTATTTTAATTATCCTTCATGCAAAAACAGCCATCTTTAGTTAATTAAAAAAATACATCCTTGGTGCTCACAGCAAAATGAATATACCGGCAAATTATATACAAATGTTGATTGTTATTTAAATTGTCATTCATGCATAGACAACCATCATTAGTTAATGAAAATAAATCAAATTTTTACAATTATGGTGCTATTTTTTGTGTAGCACAAATCTCTATATATTAGACTAACATGAACAGGTATAGACATATTCTGTTTACCAGAAAAAGACATTATTCATTATTATACATTATTAGACCCCAGCTAATATAAACCAAATCACATATTCTTTTTTTTGTACATGTTTTATTTTCAATCGCTATCTATCTATCTATCTATCCATCCATCCATCCATCCATCCATCCATCCATCCATCCATCCATCCATCCATCCATCCATAAATAAAAATAAAAATCCAAGAAAAAAAAGACTGACTGATCAAATTATTAAACTAACCTAAAAATTTTAAATAAAAGACGCACAAAAAAATAAAAAACAAAACTTTATGAACTGTGTGTGCCGAATTACTATTTTGTAATATTAGAAATACATCAGCAAAAAGTTTTTATTTTAATTATCCTTCATGCATAAACAGCTATCTTTAGTTAATGAAAAAAATACATCCTTGGTGCTAATTTACTATGCAGCACAAATTCTTAAATATTGGACTAACATCAACAGGTATATACATATTCTGTCTGTGAATAAAATCTGTTTATCTGTCTGTCTGCTCTGACGTCCCTCATCTGAACCCCGATTCTTTCAAATAAAGTTACGTCTTGTCTTCTAAATAGGTGTTATTTCGTGAGAGGATTAAACCCCCTTCTCTCCTTCACTTTTGTACATAGACACACTTAAAATCCTCAGAAGAGGTTTTCACTTTGCACACTGTGTAATAGCTCTTGTGCAGAACAAAGAAAACTGTCTGGTCAGATCTACATCAAACCTCCCTAAGGCTTAAAGCACGTTTCATCTGGGCCCCTCTGAGGCCAGGGGCCTGACAACTTGGAGAATGACTTGGCTTTTGGCTTATTGCTGTTATAAGGGTATCCTTTGTGCAAGCAAAATGACTGATAGTTTTAATAGAAGATAGGACTACGAAACGCTCATTTAAGTGAATGATTTCATCCCCCGCAATAATAAAACAAAAATAAAACCTCTCCATACTTAGATTTCCCAGAGCAACATTTGGTTATGATCATCATAAGAATTCTCAGATGAGACTTCAAGATGTTTTCCCCAAAACATTTCACCCATACACCAAGACAAGAAGACCTTTTTTTAACCGTATTTCAGGGCATGTTATGACTTGACACGCCAACAAAATCAAATTGTCTGAAAATAAATAAGAGGACATTGAAATCAGCAAACCTGTTGTTGGCTTTATTCTCAGATTTCAAGAGTCTGTTGGTTTGGTGCTGAAGGACGATGTCTCTCCAAAGTATCTTCATTGTGGCAAACCTACATCAGCCACCAAGTTTGGTAAGACTACCACTGATTACTTCATTTTTTTTGGCAAGACCTCCCCAGACTACTTAATTTTAACACCAAGTTTGGCAAGACCACCGTTGATTACTTTATTTTAACACTAAGTTTGTCAAGACCACCATTGATTAATTAATTTTAACGGCAAGTTTGGTAAGACCACCATTATTTTTTTTATTTTAACACCAAGTTTGCTAAGACCACCACTGATTACTTGATTTTTACACCAAGTTTGGTAATACCACCACTGGATAATTGATTTTTACACCAAGTTTGGTAAGACCACCACTGATTCATTGATTTTTACACCAAGTTTGTTAAGACCACCACTGATTACTTGATTTCAACACCAAGTTTGGTAATTCCACCACTGATTAATTGATTTTTACACCGAGTTTGGTAAGACCAGCACAGATTACTTAATTTTTACACCCAGTTTGTCAAGACCACCATTGATTACTTGCTTTTAACACCAAGTTTGGTTTGGAAATGTAAATGTAATTATATAACATCCAAATGTCCAAATACCTAGTTCAGACATGAAGCTCTAGAAGACAGACTGATATGTATTTTACATGCAGACCGCAAGCAGTTTTTGTGATTTACAACATGGCACAAGCTAGTAATGTACCGATTTACAATTTGATCTGATTCACAATTTTGATTTCATGATATGCTTTTCTCAAGATTTTAGAGAAGTAATGAAATTGAAGATATTATTAAGTGAGCAAAAGTTTGTAAAGTAAACCTGAAATATAATGAAACTAAATTGAAATTTTAAAACCCCAAATTAAAAAAGTTAAACAAATGAAAGTAATCTCAACTCCATGTCAAAAACATGTCAAAAAACAAAACTTTTTCCTTATAAAAGCAAAAATGGCAAATAAAATGATTATTTTTTATTTTAAAGAGAGACAACGCTGATCCTTTCATTTAGTAAAAAAAACACACAAAACACAGTCAGTAAAACTATCATTCTCAAAAAAACTCTAATATTGAGATGTGATTAGTTTTTCAAGACCAAATAAATGATCATCAAATTATCATCATTGTCGTCTCATTAACATGCTTAAAGTATTCTAACAGTTGTCATGAGTGATATATGTTTAACACTAACAACAACACATCAAAATGTCAGTAATTAAACAGAATAATACACTGTAATTCAGAGGACAATAAAACAACATAAATCCCATAGACTTGCAATAAAACAGGGACCCAAGCTATATATATACACATACCAGAAGCTTTTTGGACAGGCTCCGAAATAACCACCCACAACATCCTAGCAACTGCTTAGCAACATGGTAAAAACCACTTGCATAGAAACCACATTGCAGCTATGGCAGCTACCCATACATAACATTTAGATTTGAAAAAAGTACATTTATGAAGTGTGCTTCACACAGATGAGTGGGTTTGACAAACCACTTGTAGAAACTTGTCTTCTCTCTATAAAAAACACTCTCCCTTCTTTACTCTAGCACTTTATTATCTGAGCACTTTCAGTTCCTTTGTATAATAAGCACTTCTTGTGTGTATTTTTTTTTCTTGTCGAACCGTATTGTAAATCACTTTGGACAAAAGCATCTGCTAATTAACTAAACTTAAATGTCAGTGATTTTGCCTAGACAGAAAATTCTAGTGTAACTATTGTAGTTTTAGTTGCCTTAAATGATAATTGAGTATGTTCCTGTTTTACAGCCCTGATTTTGAAGATCTTGTCTATTATTTACAAACTTGTTCAAAGTGACTCCTATGCAACTAAAAGGTGAGCAACATGTCCACAAACTATAGATTCAAATGTGGTTGTCATACATTTTCACAATTTTTACTCAAATTTTACCTTTACTATTGTCTTGTTTTAAGACAAATACATTTGAAGTACAAAAAAACAGGGCTTCACAATATATCGAAATATATTATTGCAATAATAGTATATGCAAAATCCCTTAAACCTGAGATATTTTAAATATATTTTATAAATATGTTGTATTCAATTCACCTTTATTTGTATAGCCCTTTTACAATGTAAATAGTGTCAAAGCAGCTTCACATAGAAGATCATACTAAATTGAAACGGTGTAATTCATGTATAGGTTGAATTTAACCAATAAGATGGGTTCTTACTATCTTTATACCCCCCTTCCAAGTATGTGCTATTCTGTATTGGCAAGAACATTGCGACACAAAAGTAAACGCAGGTTCTGCGTAATACAGACTAATGGCGCTGTCACACTAGAGTTTGAGCATATGAAATTCAATCACTCGTTTGTTTGCATCATCTTGTTTAATCCTGCCCCTTTTCATTTTATTATTTCATTTATATCCCAGTTAATTTGACAAATAAGGCAATATAAGGCAACTGTGCATAAGTACACCCTCATAAGTCATTCAAAGTGTTTTAAAATCAAAATGAACGTTCCTTGACAGATTTTTTAGCCTGAGTTTAATGTAAAAAATTTAAGTATACTATGTTTAATATTTTGAATGTTTGATATTTGTTAGCGTGATCATTAAATATATGATTTTCATTTTTAAAAAAATAAATAAATAGATTTTCTTTAGGGAAATTGTATATTGCAAGAAATATCATTAGCACAATATTCAAAAAACAATATCACATATTTTCCCAATATCATGCAGCCCTACAAAAAATACACAGGTTATTGTCATGCATAAAAATAATAAAAGAATGAGTAAAATGCTTTTAAAATACTTCTAGGTAGAGCTCAGCATTTCTTACATCAGTTCTTGTCAACTTTCCAAAATCATTTCTTCCAATTTTTAGTTATTACCCGTTTCATGTCTAAATATTTAAGATTTTTGTCAGCTTTTGCAGACCGTTTTATTCAAACCACCTGTGGATGTAAGTGATGATGTGGTTATAAATCAGCAAACGGCTTCATAAATCATCTGATATAGGGAGCAGGTGGAACCTTTTGATTTTTATGACGTGATTTGTCAAGTGCACCTGTGCGCTGAAATGTTTTCTCTTCTATTCGTCAGAGACATATATTATAATGACCCACAGCTGTTTGGGTCGCAGAGGATGTTGGATTCCATCGTGGATGACATTTCCTGCATGCTCAAGGTTCCTCGCAGGAGTCTGCATATTGTAAGTTCATGTAGCTCTATGACATTTTTATACACATAGGACAAATGCTTAATTTAAGTTCTCATTTATAATAGCTGAACTTTGTATTTCAGTCCCAGCAGGATTTAACATGCCTTTTTTAGTTTTTGTGACTTAAAATTACTGTCATAATATTGAAAAAAATGCTATAGTGTAAAACCTACCAATAATCATGAGGTACTTATGATTATAAGGTGGGAGCAAAAGTGCTTTTCTCGAGGCTTCTGCAGGATTTAGAAAGGTACTAATATCATTTTAAAGCCATTTTAAAATGCAAACTAAAAAAATAAACATCAATCAGTTTTCACCAACAAGTTTTCTTGTTTTCCAGTATGTTTTTCCAGTTGAATTATTATGTTTGGAACAAATAATAACATTCACAATATTACAGGATGTTTCCAGGGTCTTTAAATGTCTTACATTTCAAAAACTAAATTTTAGTCTTTTAAAAAGTCTTAAATTTACAAAATTTTGTCTTTTAAGACTTAAATCATTTTAAACAGGTGTTAATTTTCCAACCAGGCCAACACATTCAATCAGCAATAGTATATCATAAATTTTACTTCTGTTAAAGGTTTTATTAAGAACTTATTTTAAGTCCATCTATACAATCTGAATTTGCTTGTTTTGACACATTATTTAAAATATGTGGTTAAGAAATAATAAAATTAGATTTTAATTTCTTAATTTGCTGGTGTTTTTAGTAATCGTATGTGTTTTCTTAAATTGCAGCGTGTTAAACTCTGTCGACCACCTTGCAGAAATGACATTTTTGGGTGAATTATACCTTATAAATACAGCATGCTTGTTGACTCTTTCAACACCATTTGCTAGATTGAGATCATGTGGGTGGTTGAATCGAGATCCTAATCTTTTTTTCGATTAATCGTGCAGCCCTTGTACATCCGTTCATGGAAAACCTGGAAAAGTGATGGAACTTTGACGGCATTTTCCAGGCCTGGAAGAGTTTCGGAAAAACTGAAAAACCCTCAAAGTTTTGGAAAAGTCATGGAAATTAGATAAACAAATATCTCTATACTTGAAAATAAGTTAGTTGTCATACTTTTTTCTGCATAATATTATAAGTACTGTCTAAGCATCCTTTAAATAATTTTACATAGATATAAAAATACAAACCATAAACTAAATTGATTGTTGTGTGTTCAAGTGGATTTCCTCCGGGGGTTCCCCCCAAGTCCAAAAACGTGTGCTGATGGTGAATTGGGTAAGCTTAATTGGCCGTAGTGTATGTGTGATTGGGTGTGTATGGGTGTTTCCCAGTGATGGGTTGCAGCTGGAAGGGCATCCGCTGCGTAAAACATATGCTGGTTAAGTTGGTGGTTCATACCGCTGTGGCGACCCCAGATTAATAAAGGTAAGCAGAAAAGAAAACGAATGAATGATTGTGTGTTTTATGATATGCCGTAAGGTGGCATGGTGGCTCAGTGGTTAGCAAGAAAGTCACTGGTTCGAGTCCCGGCTGGGCCAGTTGGCATTTCTGTGTGTGTTTGCATGTTCTCCTCGTGTTTGCATGGGTTTCCTCCAGGTTAGCTGGTTTCCCCTAAAGTCCAAAGACATAGAATAGAAACTGTATTTAAAAAATGTAAATTGTGTTACTTTAACCTTACCGTGTAAATGCAGCCTTAGAAATTAAGTGTTACAACAGTTATACAATTAAACTGATCAAAAAACTTATTTAGCCCCTCACACCTGACCAGTCACAACTTATTTTCTTTAAAACACTGGCACAGACCTAAAATTAACACATGCTAAGAATCAAAGTTGACAATCATTGACAAAACTGCATTATTTGGCTGCTAACTCTTTCTTTATTCATTTTGACATTTCCTGACATGCAAAAATGAACATGAAGGAATGTTCACAGTAAATAATTTTCTCTTTAATAACCTCTGTAGCTTGCAACATCCAAAGGCTTCATCTCAGGTGATCTGTGTTATTTGGAGGAAGATGGCACAAAAGTGGACTGCAATTCCAGCTCTACAGTGAGTGCAGATCTGTAAAACTCACTCACCGCTCTCTGTTTGTCAGAACATGATTTATATAACCCCCTTCTGCCCACAAGCGTTCATGTAAAATTCTGCTGGCAACATTTTTAGACTGTATCTGTCAAACATTCGCATCAGTATAACTCAAATGCTCTTCCTCTTTACCACTGCTCTGACACACCATCCTGGATCTACTCACTCATTTGGTCTCTTTGATGTTATGACTTTGTTTTACTGTACAACATCATTGAAAAGGGTTTTTATAATTCTGTCCTTGTTTCCTCTCTAGGCTGTGTCGGTGTCTTCCAACGTTAATGGAATCAGAAGTATCCTTCCTGTTTACTTTAACCATGTCATTAAAGGAACGCCACCCTATAAGCTTGTGTGCTGGTCCTCTGGGCCCACATTATGGTGATGTAATGGAACATATCTGTCTGCATCATATCTGTCTGCATCAATGAGCATGTTTAGATTCATGCTGATACTCTGACAACTCACAAAAAATCAGCTTTTCGAAAAAAAATCAGCTTTTTAAAAACCTCGACAGGTGGACAAATCTAAACTTGTATTTATTAAAACATATATATATATATATATATATATATATATATATATATATATATATATATATATATATGATAGGTGGGCATAGATACATTTTTTAATCTAGATTAAAATGGCTCATTTTATTTCTGCCGAAGGTATTCAGAATATTTGTGATACCCAAATAATAAGTCTTTGAGAACGGGTTTCTCAAGCCAGGTGGCGCATTAGAGCAAGGGCCCATCTCCTGTTTCCAAAATGCATCACAAACTGCTTGAGAAAGTGTTCTACTATGATAATTAGTGATGAAAAAAAATTCTGTTCAATAAGATGTACTTGTGTTTACTAACTGTTTATTCAGTTAAACGTGAATTTTGAACTGTCGGCCTACATAAGCTCCAAATAAGTTTACATAAGCTTTTTTTTTTTTTTTTTTTTGATCAACTTAGTCCGTCTAAAGTCATAACTGAACTAAACAGAAATGGAATTAGGTCATGTGGACTATGCATATATTGGTGGCATTATTAAAGTAAACACAGTGATCAGTAAACACCGTCATGTAGGACTTTTCGCCATATTTTCCGAATAGATCCACACACGCGGCTGTCAGTAATAGACCTCACACACACACATAGCGAAAGTCTTTTTCAATCAAGTTCTTTCCATTTAGCGTGCATTGTTAAGTTCTATAACACTCTCACCAGTCAAAATTAAAGTGAAACTGCCGAACTGTAGTTAAAAGTCAGGCATCATGCTGATTTGATTCAGAAGGGCACTTTTTTTGTCAGACGGCTCACCGGTCAGGTATACATCCACGCTAAATTATCAAGGTGAAAGTCATCATAGCCTGCATAGAATAGACCCAGCTCCCAAACCAACTTTAAGAATAGATTAACGGCGATATTTTTTATCGCACGATAAGAGTTCGATAACGGGCCACTAAAATATATATATATTATAATAATAATAAATATATAATAAATAATACTGCTAATAACAATATACAAATACAAATTGTCATGAATGAACTAAAAAAAAAATCCCCCAACATGAAGAAGGCATGGTGGTAGTGGTTTTTATATTTATGTAGAAAATAATAATTTTGTAACCTATTAATCCATTACTTTTTTCATATGTAAAGATATTTGTGTATTGCTTTACATAATGTGTGTATTAACAAATGTGTAAGTGTTTGAACCCATATAAGTGCATAACTAATGTGCTTTACACTGGACTTAAGACTTGCTTTTATTTGGTAAAGGGCAGGTCTATTTCAGTTCTTTAAAATAGCAACATGCCAAAAATGCACCTTAACACACCTCTATTTTAGACCAGCAAACCCATGAGTCAAAAAGAGATGCAAACGATTTAGTCATTTAAAAATCGTGAAGCAAAATTTGAAAATTAAAGTTGCGCTGGTCTGAAAATAGCAACAAATTACACCAAACACGTCTTGCGCCTTATGTGGTTCTCAACTCCAGTGTTAGGGATCCACTGCTTTACACTTCTTTCTGATCTGACACACAGTTCAGTCCATAGAGATCTGCTACTGTAACAAGCCAGTGGTTTCGATTTTGTTTATTAAATAAGGAAGACATACAAAGTGTGCAAAGAAATAAATCACCAGCACTAGAGTTGAATAGTTTTCATGCAAATGCACAGTTAAAGGAGTTTCAGGCAATTCTTTATTACTTTAAAGTTCACATATCCCTCCATATTGCTTCACAGTCCTGTCACTTATGCAATAAGATAAAAATGGCAAAGTATTTCCTTGTTTTTTTTTTCTCGTGAAATTATGTTCTATTATCTTTGGAAAGGACATGCTGTCTTTCTCTCACTCTCCCGCCCATACAAACACAGACACACACTCACACAAACACAGAAATGTGCACCAATTTGTCATCGATGAAGCTTGACTCTATTAATAAAATAAATTTGGATCTGAAAAGAGGTATGTCGCCTCTAGTGAGTGATAACATTGCTGTTCTGTTTGCATAGACATTGTTGAAAGATGCACAGGCTCACATATTTCACACGCTTAATTTTTTTTATCAGTAGCTTAAGCCTCCACTACTCCACTACTAAAATTACATTTTGAAATTAGCAACAGAGGCTTGGGATGACTTGAGTGAAGTGCATTTCAAGGAGGAAAAAACTCCTGAGAAACGTTTTAAAAAATAACACTTAAAATATTTAAATCTGCTTCACCTCGTATATATATATATATATATAATTTATTTATTTATTTTTTTATTTTTTTTTTTACTAAATCATTTTTAGTTTTTGGTCTAATTTGGTTACTTTGGTTCAATGAAGAGGTCTGCATTCCCACGGCTGTACCACGAGAGCAGGAATACATTTCGGAATAAATCGAAAAAGGGGAAACAAAACTGACATTTAGCCTACGATCCTTGCACAACCTACAGACTTATCTGTTATCTTTTTCTTTTAGTAGTACCCAATTTAAACAAGAGATTTTGGAAACCAGATCTATATTTAGCGAGAATGGTTGGGTCGGGTAAAAATTATTCTAAGCAGACAGCGGGTGAACAAAGACTGAATAAACAGCAGGATCAGTCAGGAGTGGTAGCAGGACTAAAAACCTGGCGGGAGCGGGGCTAAAAAACAGTCTTGTGCAGACCTCTTGTTCGATGTTTAATTTATTCCAGTCAGTAAAAAATAATTTCCAAAGCAGTCCATATGGCTTCAGTGGTTCCACTGTAATCATACAACGCTCCAAGAACACTTTTGTGCACCAGTGTTTGTCAACCATGTTCCTGGAGGACCACCAACATTGCATGTTTTTGATGTCTGTTTTCTTTGTCTGTTACACCTATTACAGGGTTTTCAGGCTGATGATTAGGAAAACATGGAAAATGTGCAGAGATGGTGGTCCTTCAGGAACGTGGTTGAGAAACACTGATATAAATTACTTTGTTTGCTTTATTTTCTTGTCAGGTCATCAATGTGTGCGCACTAAAAAATGCTGACACCCACGCAATAGATATTTGTTGGGATAACATGAAGAAATTAAGTTTAAATTCAATTCAATTCAAATTTAAGTGAACTGAATGTAAAACAATTAAGTCGTCCCCCTCAAAATATCAAAATTTGTGTCATTTTGAACTAGTTTGTACAATCATTATTTTTTGAGTACATTTACTGAGGATACTATGACAAATGTCCAGTGGAGTGAGCAACATGACACATAAGCTTTGCATTGCCTTTAATAACATGCACCAGGACCTGACAAAAAAAGGGAAAAATAGCTTACGAACTTGCCCTCTGCCTTATGATTAATAATTCCATTCCTCAGCAACATAAAGACATTGTATCATCTGCGAAATTCATTCTGATAGTGGAGAAAGATGCAACTTTCCAGAGGCTACTAGACGATGACTTCTGCGCCAGACTTTCTCCCTGCATCATCATAACTGTGAGTGTTGTTATTAGATCAGTGCTCTTGTGTGTTTTGCAGCCTGATCGTCATGTTTTGTGTCTGTCAGGGGAAAGGAGTGCCAGATGTCAACAGCAGACTGATGGTGAGGAAACTGTGGGATGCGCTTCACGTGCCTGTCTTTGCTCTGGTAGATGCAGACCCTCACGGTACAAACACGGACACACAATGTCTGAAATGCTTATTGGTCGTGCTTACTAGGCATCATCTTGCTCATTATGGGTTAAGAATTTGTGAGTGGAAACCTCCAATAACACTCATAGCATATTACACATTGCTTACAGCAAAAGTTGTCAGCACATGTTTGTTCAATGATATATTTGAAATGTTAGGTTTAAGTTGGGTTAAGAATGTAATTAATTAATTAATTAATTAATATTTAAACTGTTGGATTGGCTTATATTTAGGGTGTCCAAGGAGTCTTAAAAATTTGTTAAAGTTAATTCATCAATTTAGAAAAGTTTAAGCCCCTTGTTACGAGTTTAGGATGGTAAAGTAGGATGCTGTAACATTTAGGTTAATGGAAAAAATAAATAAACATTTACAATTAGTCTCTTTAAGCAAAAACAATGGGCCCTATCATGCACCCGGCGCAAAGCGGCGTAAGGCGCGACGCAATTGTTGTTTGCTAGTTTCAGCTCGGCGCAAGAGTTGTTTTAAAGAGTTGCACCACGCTGTTTAAATATCAAATGCATTTGTGCTCATGTGCACCCATAGGCGTTCTAGTCTAAAAAAGGAGGTGTGTTGAGGCGTGTTGCCATTTTGAGGAACTAAAATACACTGTTCAATAGACCAGATCAAAGCAGGTCTAAAGTCCAGCGTAGAGCGTAGAGTTGTGCGCCTCACTTAAACAATGCTTAATACACACAGGATGTACAGCAATACACAAATAGTGAAAAGAGTGAAAGAGAATTAAAGGATTAAAATATTACAAAAATTATTATTTTCTAGCCTACATAAATATAAAAACCACTGCCTCCATGCCTTCTTTATCTCGGGGGGCTTTTTCAGTTTATTCACAAAAATTTGCTTTTGTATAATGTTATTATTAGTAGTAGTATTATTTATTATATGCATATTTATATTTGCTTAATTAAAAACAAGCTTAGGTTTGCCCACCTGTGAGGTTTCAGACCATATGGGGCAAAGGTTGTGGATACAACTCGTTTTTTTACCACACTTCGTTATTATTGTTCATTTAATTGTTTGTTGGAAATTAGAACAGAATTTAGAAATATTTTTTTAAACAAATCTTTGCGCTTAAAAAATGAAATTAATTATGTATATGATAATGGATGTCTGCGTACAACACATTTCCCTTTCCACAAAAGAAAGTGAAAGTAAAGAATGAGGAGGCTCAGTCTGCGCTGTAGATGCTCTTTTTAACTGTTTTTTCACTAGTGAAGCGTTTAGATTTCCACTTACAAAGTCCGCTATGTAAATAGCAAATGCGCTATGGCGCGATGCAACTGACTCTTAAAGGGAATGGTAGATGAGACTCTGATTGGTTTATTCTCAAACACACCTATAACTACTTATTTAGAAAAGCTATCTTGTTCAGTTAATGTAAATATTTTGTTGTTGTTGTTGTTTTATATATAAAATATAACAATTTTGAGAATCATTTTTGGCTATAGTTAGATGCCAACAAATAAAATAAATAGTTTTTAAAACAATATAATTTTGCATGCCTGTGAAATATAAACTATAATGTTTTTACGGTATACAGAATTTAAGTTTACATATCTATAATTGAAATACATAAGTGCCTTTGAACTTTAGGCAAAGGGGTCCCCTGCAAGGAATCATCATATTTGGGGGTCCTTGAGATCAAAAAGTTTGAAAACCCCCTGTCCTACTGCACAGCATGACATGTTTACTATTTCAGCCGGTCTCTTTTTGCAACCGGGAACCCGAGTGATGTAGGTTGGTAATTTGTCTATATTCTTTTAAAGAATGTTCAATGATCACTTTATTTAAATACAACAGATGCTTGTTAGCACAATCTAATGAATAAGTTCAAGCAGATACTATCAAAGCAAACCTAATAAAGTGTTCATTTCTGTTATAAGTGCTGTTTTAATCATGGTAAAGTGTTCTAATGTGATCTCTCTAGTTCTTAGTGAAGTAATTGAATATTAAAGTCACCCCAGTAATGTCATGTTCCCTGCAAAATGTCACTTATACTCAGTAAAGACAGTGAACTACAAACACACATGCACTTAACGCAAAGACAACAAACACAGACATGCTCCAGCACAGTGTTGAGGCCCCTGCTGTTTCTGACACTGTCATTATCAATGACTCTCTGCATGTGTAATGCTTTACGCGGTTCTCCAGTGAGTTAAGCTGTCCTTAAGGATAATTGCAAAGGTATGGTGGTGATTGCGGAATCAGTCTCTCTCTCTCTCTGTCTTTTCCCAGGCATCGAGATTATGTGCATCTACAAGTACGGCTCAGTGGTAAGTTTGTTTCCTGCTATTTCTGTGCAATTTCCAGCGAGGGCCTGTGCAGGCTTTTGCATTGCGGTGACATGTAATTATTCTTCTTTGTGGCAAGACAAAAAAAAAAAGAGGAAGCACTCATTCATGAACTTAAAATTCACCCTTTGGAAAAAAAGTGAAGCGTTTCTACATGTGTGTGTACGTGTTTGTGTGGGAGAAAGAGAGAGACATCTGCAGAATATGTAGCTACATCTTGGCTGTTTACAGACAAATCATGCACTATAAAAATCAAGCAGAATTGTTTAAGATAATAGTTTTTTTTCACACAATATGAAATACTATTAAAAAGGTTTATCAGATTCTCTAATTTTATAATGTTCACATTTATGGGTCTTTCAGTAGAGTAATCCCCAATCCCAATTCTACCCCTTAGCCCTTCCCCTTACCCCTACCCCTTGTTTTGCATGTTCTCGTGAAGGGGTAGTTGTGTCCCAATTCTCTTTAGCTTGAAGGCGTAGGGCTAAGGGGAAGGGGTGAACACCCCTTCGAATGAAGATTTTTCAGGAGCACACTCGAAACCAAGGGGTAAGAAAATTTCCCAGAATACACCTGCCACAACGGCAGATAGTTACAACCGGAAGTAAGGAGATCCACAAATTAGTGTTTTTTTTAAATCATTATTACGAATTTTTACAACAAACAGACACATTTTATTATATTCATAACCACGTACATGTTTTACCATCGTGCTTTTTAAAAAAAACGCTAAAATAAAAAGTGCTAAATTTCGCGATCTATAATCCATAATCAGAACTCGTGCACAGTAGTCAAATAACATTCTGACTCTTGGTGAAATGGGCTTTTTACGGTGTCTGTTATAATGTTAATTGTTTTTGGCGTGTTTACATATGTGTTATACAGTATTACGATCTTATTGTCACATTAGATCGTTATGATAACATAATATGTTATATAAGTAAATAATAAAGCAACTGGAATAACTACAGCAGTCACGATCCTCTTATCTCATATGAAGCAAGAGATCTTGATGACATCTGATGACGTGTGCAGGAGCTGTAGTGCTGTCCCAATTTTTAAATTTTGAAGCCCTTAGGGTGAAATTTTAAAGGAGTAGGGGTACACAAATAGAATTGGGATTGGGCCTAAGTCGTCACAGTTAGGTAAATTTAGAGTGCAGTGAATGGAAGAGTATGTAATGTTTTTTTTTTTTTTTTCTTACAATCCCATTTGCTGAAATAATAAAAGAAAAACTCAACAATGGTTTCATCAAGACTTTCAGAAACAAGAAAAAAATGTATAAGACTGATAATGGCAGCCAGAAGAGAGAACAACGTCAAATTTACTGTCCATAGACACTGCATTATAAACACCTCACACAAGTGCTAATCCGTTTTTTGTAGTTTGCCAAGATGATATAATACATTAATACATATAACTGTTTGTCATTTTTTTAAAATCAAAATATTAAAAACTTTTATTGATTTAAGATTATAATGACTGTTAAATGCCTTTTTTATAAAAAGGCTTTAAAAAGGGGCCATAATGACTCTCCTCTTGAAGATTGTATTCATTTGATTAAAAGTACAGTAAAAAAACAGTAATATTGTCAAATATTATTGCAATTTAAAGTAACTTTTCCATTTTCTCTCCATTTTTCAAGCTACATTTTTTTTATGCAATCTTTAATTTCGGCATCAAATGAGCAGGTAATAATTAACAAAAAACATTCTTATTATTTCATTTAAATTGGTTTGTTTATAACAATGTAATGTTTTATGTCAGTTTTGATTGAATTTATACGGTCTTAATAAAAAAAGTTATTTTATTAGTAATATGTCAGTTAATACTTTTATTAAACTAAATGTACAGACTCTGAACCTTAATTGATGTACAGTTGAAGTCAAAATTATTAGCCCCCCTGTTTATTTTTCCCCCCCATTTCTGTTTAACGAAGAGAAGACTTTTTCAACACATTTTTAAACATAATAGTTTTTATAATTCACTTCTAATAACTGATATATTTAATCTTTGCCATAATGACAGTAAATAATATTTGACTAGATATTTTTCAAGACACTTCTATACAGCTTGAAGTGACATTTAAAGGCTTGACTAGGTTAACTAGGCAGGTTAGGGTAATGAGGCAAGTTATAACGATGGTTTGTTCTTTAGACTGTCAAAATATATATATATATATATATATATATATATATATATATATATATATATATATATATAGCTTAGTGGGTCATAAAATATTTTTGACCCTAAAATGTTTTTTAAAAAATGTAAAAAATAAAAAATAAAGCTTTTATTCTAGCTGAAATTAAACAAATAAGAGTTTCTCCAGAAGAAAAAATATTATCAGACATACAGTGAACATTTCCTTGATTTGTTAAACATCATTTGGGAAATATTTAAAAATGGGGAGTAACTGCTGAATTTCCTGCGTGTTCTGCTTTTTATGAATGAGGCAAACGCACAGCCACAAGTAAACAGGACATTGCCCATCTCTCGTTATAGATCACGATCACTTACACGGTTATGTGAATTGGGATATCGGGTAGCTGATTACATGATGAGCAAGCATGTTAATACGTTTAATTAAAACGGGAAAAAAAACTAAATAAAAGGGTAACATCTGTCATAAAGCAAATGACAAACATGACACGTCGCAGCAGAAACATTAAGGGTAAATGTTTTAAAATAATGATCGCCTACAAAAAACTCACTCCTGGTTCCAAAATATTTTAAACTCATCAGTAAAAGGGTTAACAACAGTAGAAAAGCAGCGATGGTAGAGTTACTTCGCATTGTAAGTCTAAAGACGCATTTTTATTCACCATATTAATTCTTTTTCCACTGCAACTGCTTTCCACTGCTTTATATTCTATACTGTACATTATTTCTGTTAAGTGAAAAGACCGTCCTAATTAAATATTTAAAAATCAAGGCATGATCATATTTTATTTTGGTAAAATAAGCATAATCTAGAGGCCTTTGCCTTTCATATAAACCACTTCTGATATCAAATGATCAACTAGAAGTCAAGTTATTATTTGTTGTTGGTAAAACTTGGATAGGTGACAAGACTTTTGTCAGGAAGTGGATGTGACATTTTGTAAATTCACACATGATCTAATAATTAGTTCTGAATGTTCTGATACTGGACTGCTTTGTAGGCTAAATCATGTAGGCGGGTGTATTATCCTAAATGAAGTCTGCCGTCCTGCTTTACACACTGTAACTGTCATTTGTCCATAGTCAATGGCCTTCGAGGCCCACAGTCTGACTGTCCCCAGTGTGCTGTGGTTGGGCCTCCTGCCTTCAGACATCCAGAGGTTTGGGAAAGTCAACTCATTACTCCGCTCTGTGGTTTGTGATTGAGGCTGTGCTTGCTCTGGTTTCCGCTTTCTGGCCTTTTTTGTTTTGGTTTTTGTTGCCGTTGCTGTTATTTTATTTCCTTCCTCTCAAAAAGCTATTTTAAAGTGGACGTGTTAACTATCATGGGCTTCAGAAATCAGAAGCTTCTTTTTAGGAATACAGAGTGAAACTGCAGAGGAAAGAAATGTAAACTGCAGCTGTTGGCACCAAGTTCATGATATGTTAAACACAGGCCACTTTGACATGCTGCTACATTATCTTGCACTGCTATATCTAACAAGACTTTAGACATGGCGTTTCTGATTTCTCTCAATTCTTCTTGCAATTTATGTTTCACATTTCTGTCTTTATTTCTTGCAGATTTGAATTTATATCTCACAGTTCTCGCTATGTATTTCTTGTGAAACAACTCACTTCTGAATTCTCATAATTGCAGTTTCATTTTTCACAATTGTGAGTTTAAAGTCTGTCTTGTGATTCTGACTTAATTTTTTCGAATTGCATTTTACACCTTACTTGCTGTAACTTTCAATTAAAATGTGTATAAATAGTATTGTGTTTTAATTGTGAGATATAAACTCACAAATGTAAGAGGACAAGGCCATGCTTTGTAATTGCTATTTCTTGCTAATTTAAGTTTACTTTTTTTGCACTTTTGAATTGACATGTTCAGTTCACATCTCTAAATTATGGCTATTTTTTGCAGTTTCGGGTATTTATCTTGCAATTCTTATGGCGATGCAGTGGCGCAATAGGTATTGCTGTCGCCTCACAGCAAGAAAGTCGCTGGTTCGAACCTTGGCTCAGTTGCCGTTTCTGTGTGGAGTTTGCATGTTCTTCCTGCGTTCGCGTGGGTTTCCTCCGGGTGCTCCGAATTCCCCCACAGTCCAAAGACATGCTGTACAGGTGAATTGGGTTGGCTAAATTGTCCGTAGTTTGTGTGTGGATGTTTCCCATAGATGGGTTGCGGCTGGAAGGGCATCCGATGCGTAAAAACTTGCTGGATAAGTTGGCGGTTTATTCCGCTGTGGTGACTCCGGATTAATAAAGGGACTAAGCCGAAAAGAAAATGAATGAATGAATCTTGCAATTCTTTTTTTTCACACAATCCCAACTGTATTTTACAATAAGATTATATGTATTTGTCTTATCACCCAAATTCTGAATTATTGTAATATTTTTTCATTAATAGTTATTTTTAGTTATGGTTAGTTTATTTATATAGCACATTTTTCACAACACAACGTTGCCCAAAGTGCTGAACGCAATCAATACTATTTAAAAATAAGTCCTACATCACATACATAACAATTAAAACATAAGACAAACCCTTCAACATTAAGAAGGCTCAAATGCTAAAGAACAGATATGCAATTTCAGAAGCTTTTTAAAAAACAAACAGAGTAAGAGCATGTATATTGTGGGGTGGAAGCCTTTTCCAGAGTTTTGGGGCGATAACAGCAAAAGCCCAATCCAGGCAATTTTGTCTAAACTTTTATTGTCCAATTTGGGTAAACCTGTGCGAATTGTGGCTTCAGTTTCCTGTTCTTAGCAGGCAGAAGTGGCACCCGGTGTGGTCGGTCCCACTTTATATTAAGTGTCCTTAACTACTATGTACTTGCATCAAAAAATAAATGCAGTGTACTTACTGTGTTCATAATGTATTTGAGAAGACTTGTGGTGCTTTTGAGTTGGGATAGGGGTAGGGTTATGGACAGGTTTGGTGGTATGGGTAGGTTTAAGGGTGGGTTAAGGTGTAAGGGATGGTCAACAGTGTATTTACAAATGTAATGACAGAAGTTAATTACAGATTTAATTACATATAAGTATTTAATTAAGCATAAGTACACAGTAAGTACATTGTAACAATCTATTAATTCCTGTGTAAGTACATATTAGTTAAGCCCACTTAATGTAAAGTGGGATCGTGTGGTCTTCTGCCTCAAGGTTGGATGTGTTGTGCATTCAGAGATGCTTTTCTGCATAACTCGGTTGTAGCAAATGGTTATTTGAGTTACTGTTGCCTTTCTATCAGCTTGAACCAGTCCTCTGACCACTTCGTCTACACCATGACCTTGGTACAGAAAGAATAAACTGATCAGAAGACCTTAGTGGCCTACCAGGATTACATACATGTAGGAGAAGGTTGTGCTAGATCCTTTAAGGATTTAAAAACAAAAATAAATCTTTTAAAATCAATCTGGCACGTAACAGGCAGCCAGCCCAGAGAGGAAAGAACTGGGGTATGTACTCATACTTGTGAGCCCCTGTCAGAAATCTCGCAACAGCATTTTGGACTAATTGCAATCTACTCCGGGCATTTTGACTAATATCCACTTACAAAAAGTTGCAAAAGTCATGTCTTCCCAAAATAAAATCATGGATCACCTTCTCAATGTCATTAAAAAAGAGAGAAATAACTTCACTTGTAAATAGAAAAAAAATGGATTTAACAACTGAATTTAATAATGTTCATTATTTATTGCAATTGCGAGTTTCTATCTCAAACTTCTGTCTGGATTTGTGCAATTCTACTTTATATCTCACACTGTTTTTACTCCTCATAATTGCAAGATGTTTTATTTTGGAGAGAAACTTGAATTGAGAGATATAAATTCCAAATTGTGATGTGCATCGTTTTACTAGCCTTTCATTGTGTTTGTGGCTGTTTTTGCCCCATTGACTTTCATCATTATGACATTATTTAATTGCAAATTCTTGACACCGCATAATCAGGCATTCTTTATTGTTGGTTGTTTTCCCTTTTGGGAAGAGGCAAAGTTTGTAATTTCTACTGTTGATGATTAGTTGGCAGCATTAACCCTTTAAATACGCTTGTGCAAAAAAGCTTCTGGCTTTTATATAGAGTCTTCATTCATTCATTCATTCATTCATTCATTTTCTTGTCCCTTTATTAATCCGGGGTCGCCACAGTGGAATGAACCGCCAACTTATCCAGCAAGTTTTTACGCAGCAAATGCCCTTCCAACTGCAACCCATCTCTGGGAAACATCCACACACACATTCACACACACACTCATACACTATGGACAATTTAGCCTACCCAATTCACCTGTACAGCATATCTTTGGACTGTGGGGGGAACCGGAGCACCAGGAGGAAACCCACGCGAAGGCAGGGAGTATATGCAAACTCCACACAGAAACGCCAACTGAGCCGAGGTTCGAACCAGCGACCTTCTTGCTGTGAGGTGACAGCACTACCTACTGCGCCACTGCCACGCTATGTAGAGTCTTATAACAGCAAATTATAGTGCGTGCATAAATACAATGTTTACTATTTTCTGAGAGCTGAGATGCTTACTTTGATTTTCTCAGACATATCAAGGTAAGTGCACAAAGGTCTCTCTCTCACACACACACACCAATCTCAATATAACTTCTTATAAAAACCAAAAACTAAGCTTGTTCTGCACTGCAACTGATAATCAACAGTAAAAATGACAAATTGTACCTCTTTCCAACAGGGAAAGCCACCAACAATAAAGAGTGCTTCATTGTATGGTGTCATGGCTTTCACTTAAAAAATGTCATTATAATGGAAGTCAGGGGCGGACTGGCCATCTGGCAGACCGGGCAGTTTCCCGCTGGGCCGACATACTTTTTGGGCCGGGCTGATCATCTTCTTATCCGATCAGCCTATAAAGCACTTAGCAGATCGTGTTTTCTGTTTAATTAATTGATGATGCTGTGATATAGGGCTGTGCAATTAACCGAAAATCTGATTTCGCTTTCGATTTTGGCTTTTAACAATTATGAAAAACCATTAGTCGAGATAACCGATTATTCCATCACGTACCGCCCCCTTTCCAGTTGTACACTTGTAAAAACTCTTTGCCTCTGCAAAGCTCAGTTCCACGTGAAAATGACTAAAAGCATGTGGTGTAATGTAACTTTTGCAGCACGGGATGCGCATCATTCATAATTTTAAAAGCGCAAAAGAGCACGTGCTGTGGTGTGTGTGTGCGCCGTGTCTGGCCTCGGACAGGTAGCGTGTGTTTGTTTGCGCGCGCGCCACGCTTAGCCTCGGACAGCAGAGCACACACACATCTAACGCGATCTTAATGTGAGCGCTTTAACGGTCAAATGCATGCACATTTGTATCAGAGCGCGGTTAACCCCCATTTGTGTAATAAACTAACAAGTTGAGAATCAAAAGACACGTGAAAGAGAAACCATATCATAGCCGCACTATTCTTAAAGTGACAGCGTGCGATATTCCTGCTGCTGCCGACTGTTTTTATTATTAATCAATAATAAAATTAAAAAATACAGTGAAGATGCTTAAAGCACAGTTTAAACAACAGATTTAATAACTCATTTCTAAAAACTGATTACTTTTATCTTTGCTATGATGACAGCACATTATATTTTACACATTACATTTATAGATATTCTTCAAGATACTAGTATTCAGTGCCATTAAAAGGCTTAATTTAGGTAAATAGACAAGTCATTGTATAACAGTAGTTTCTTCTGCACACAATCAAACATATATATTGCTTAAAGGGGCTAATAATATTGAGCTATTATAGGTTTCAAAATATTCAAACCTGCTTTTATTCTAGCTGAAATAAAACAAATATGCCTTTCTCCAGAAGAAGAAAAATTTATAGGAAATACTGTAAAAAAAAAAAACCTCTGTTAAACATAATTTGGGAAATATTTATATATAAAAATAAATTCATAGGAGGATAAATAATTTTGACTTCAACTGTTAATCGTTTTGAATAATCGTGATTACAATTATGACCAAAATAATCGTGATTATGATTTTTCATAGTGTTCACTAGTGTGCAACTTAAGCAAAACTAATATTATTATTATTTTTTACGTTTAGTTTTGTAGTTCAAGCCCAAACAAATATTTGTTGCATTTTTTAATTGACATCCAAACATTTTGGATGATTTCGGATGCAGCCCATGAATTACACTATACAAGAAACTCTAGACTGCACAAGCTACTGTAAAAGAGGTCAGCTGTTTATTGAATTTGCCTGAGTTTGAAAAAACAAAACATGCATTTAAAAAAAGCACTGGAAACATCCTCAGGTATTTTGGTTGTGATTCCGACAGCATCAGCACATTTCTGCTGGCAGTTTCCTGCTCCACCTCATCCCAGAAACACTACTGAACTGAGATCTGAAGCATGTGCACACGTCTGCACTGATGTCATGTTTCAAAAAGCAGCTTGACAAAGAGCAGGAGTTGTGGAGCAACATAATATCCTACTCGGCACCGCCATGAAATTAATTAAGTCTGTTCCACAGATGTGCCTTTACAGACAAGGCGTCCAGTTTTGGCATTTGCATCTAATTTACAAGTGTTTTATATTTATATTTACAAGTATATACATAGAAAGCAGATTAAACACAAAAAAAAATATATATATATATATATATATATATATATAATATTTATTTCTACATTTCCCAGTACTGGGTTGCAGCTGAAAGGGCATCCGCTGTGTAAAACATATGCTGAATAACTTGGCGATTCATTCCGCTGTGGCGACCCCTGATGAAAAAAGAAACTAAGCTAAAAGAAAATGAATGAAATTTCTACAGCGCTTTTACACTTGCGACACAGACTCATTGGGGAAATGTGCCCAGGGCTACATTTATAAGAACTGAGAAATATGTGCTCCTGCATACATATGGCAAATACAATGGGGCGGTACTGCTGACTGCTTACCTCCATATAGATGGCTTTTTCAGCATGACTGGTTTGGTCAGTAGAAAATTGAGTTTGAATCCGACAAAGAATAGTAGTGGAAACCAGGTAAAACAAACTAAAAAAGTGTGATACCATGGTAAAAGCATGTGGTCGGGATAGCTTTTCTTTTCTAGTTTGCTTTATGAAAACACTATCAGTTGGGTTATGAAACGAGATGTGTGGGTCACTAGATTTCAAGCTGATATTTTATGCACAACAACAAGCTGACCCTCTCACATGCATGAAAAAGGTGCTAAGATTGGCAGAATCATACACAGCAGCCTCTGATGGATGTACGAAAAATGACATATGAGAAAACCTGCCCCAGTTACATAGTTGAGATAATGTACACAGCGCCTCTTAGTGGATTTATGAAAACCATTTGCAAGAAGACATAGTCCACAGTATGTATTTGTTGGTTCTCAGAAATGTAGCCCTTGGCACATATTTCCAATAAGGTGGATTTAACAATGTAGCATGTGTCAAGGCTTAACATAGATGAAAAAACATACAAAGGCAGTTTTACAGATTTTTGAGAATGCTGGTGTATTTGAATGTATTAAAATGAATTCAGTTAATTTTTTTCCCTATAGCTTAGTGATGTTTTATAAACAAATTTCGGGAGGAGCATGATCAGTCTTTGACGAGGCTAATTCATCACACACAATCATTCTATTAACCAATCAGCTCAGGAGCAAACCCCTATAAATAGTCAAACACGTCATACCTCCGTTTTCTCTTAATTTCAGCATCCCGCCACCACCCCAACTCCACACTATTAAACCCGATACCTATTTAAATCTGAGGGGGGCGTTCCGGAGCCGGGCTAGACACTGTGCTCGGACCTTATCTCTTTCTGTCCTGATAAGGGGAATAACACGAGTTAGGGTGTCTTCCCGAGCTCAGAGCCCTCTCCCCGGACAGCACGCAAAATATGCATATTCTATTCAGTCAAATATCTGAGTGTGAAGTCGTGAATTATAAATAAAATGTCAAAATTTGGTTCAATTGATATATTCATGAAAAAAATAAACAGCATGCTTACTCTGATCTGTACTCAAGAAATATGAAAGCAAATATATATATATATATATATATATATGTGTGTGTGTGTGTGTGTGTATATATATATATATATATATGTATATATATATATATATATGTATATATATATATATATATATATATATATATATATATTACTAAATTGTATTATACTCTTACACTTTTAAATGGTATAAAACTTTCTGTTTATGGTTTGAAGGCTAATTTACAGTGGCCAAGAGAGCTTAGAGTGCTGCAATTTAAGAAAACACGTGCAATTACAAAAACGCCAGCAAATTAAGAAAAGATTTTCATCAGTTTGACAGCACATGTTATGCGAATCCTCACAAACCAAAAACGTGCTGCATTTTCTCACAATGCAAACATTTTATGAAAACGAGCAACATTTTCTCACAACAATATTTCCAGGAGACCCTAAAACATGACGGACTTGGCTATTTATGGTTATTTAGGCTTAGAAATATTGAAGACACAGGAATTGGTATATTAAAATAAACATACAAAAACTTCACATTTCAAAGATTAACTTCACTGAGCAATAGTCACGGCTTTGCAGCATCTGTCAAGTTTTTGGATCCTCTTAAAAACATTATCGTTGTTTTTTTTTTATGTGTGAGAAAATGCAGCGCGTTTTATTACTTTGTTTGCATTGTGAGAAAATACATTGTGTTTTTGCAAATTGTTTGCATTTAGAGAAAATAAATCGTTTTTCGTAAATTGTTTGCATTGTGAGAAAATGCAGCGTTTAGTAATTGATTTGCATTGTGAGAAAATACAGCGTGTTTTTGTGAATTGTTTGCATTGTGAGAAAATGCATTGTGTTTTTGCAAATTGTCTGCATTTTGAGAAAATAAAGCGTTTTTCGTAAATTGTTTGCATTGTGAGAAAATGCAACGTGTTTTAATAATTTGTTTGCGTTGTGAGAAAATACAGCACGTTTTATTAATTTGTTTGCGTTGTAAGAAAATACATTGTGTTTTTGCAAATTGTTTGCATGTTGAGAAAATAAAACGTTTTTCGTAAATTGTTTGCATTGTGAGTAAATGCAGTGTGTTATATTAATTTGTTTGCGTTGTGAATAAATGCAGCCCGTTTTATTTATTTGTTTGCATTGTGAATAAATGCAGCGTGTTTTATTAATTTGTTTGCGCTGTGAATAAATGCAGCCCGTTTTATTAATTTGTTTGCGTTGTGAGTAAATGCAGCGTGTTTTAATTATTTGTTTGCATTGTGAGAAAATGCCGCACGTTTTATTCATTTGTTTCTTAAAACTTATGGTTTGAAGATTGTGTGGCGAAATATAAAGATTGAAAATGACAAAGTATTTTGTTGATCCAATATGATCTTTCAATATAGTGTAAATGACTATTAAATACTAAATACTATTGTAATATATCGTTAGATAATTTTACAGTCTCATTAGAATGGCTTATAATTGGTTTTTAAGTTTAACATGCATGATGTTCTTTTGCCTGTTATTATTTAATTTAATTAATTATATGAATTAAGTCTTTTTTCTTTTAATTTTAGCATCTGTAAAGAGCTTTTAAATGTACCTTTAAAGGTGCTTTATAAAATAAGGTTTATTATTATCATTAGCTTTAATTTTGCCTGACCATATTTTTAACTATAGATGCTATGTGTAACTAAATTCCTTAGCTTAAGTCTGCGTTAACATAAATGAACACACAAGGCTTAATGTTGCCTTTATATGTACAGGTACAGAGTGCCAGATGAAGCTCTTATCCCATTTGCTAAAGCAGATGAGAGAAAAATCAGCAGTTTGAGGAGCAGAAGCTACATCACCTGTCAGCCCACGTGGGAGAGAGAGGTGAGAGACACTTTTTTTCATTGTAACATACAAATGATTCTATAACTGCAGGTACATTGGGCATTTCAAAATTAACTATAAACAGCAGTTATTTACAATATCTTAATATAAGCATATTCCATTTTAATAATTCACTGCTTGCCAAACACAAATTATTTAACTTGTAGGGATTTTTTTAATAGTATTGATTAGGGCTGCATGATATTGGAAAAATCTAACAGTGCGATATTTTTTATGTTGCCATATATATTGCGATATATACAAATGACTTAATATCTCTATTTGGAAAGAATTTATGATATTAGATCGATTATGATTATTCTGCAGTGAGAGTGCATCTCCATAAAATCTAATAAACAAATCTATACGTTTACCCGAACACATTTTCAGTGCTATTTCAGTGCATTTCTGTATTTGCATTGCATTGAGTTGTATTTTCATGCACATGTTTAGTCGATGAATGATGGATTAATGTTTACTATTTGCATCTCTTTAAAATCTAATAAACTTTTTGGGGTCTGTGCTTTTGCAGTGCATTTCTGTATTTGCACATGTTGTGAGTATTTTTATGCATATTTATCTATAAATACAATCAAGAAAAAGATACAACAAAAAGAGTGTTTTATCTTTCCCCTGAGTCTGCAAGTATTCAGGTGAATAATAAAAATAAATATAATTCAATTGAATGAATTGTTGTTACAAGTGGTACAATTTCTTATACCTCCATGCTTTTAAAATCATTTTACAATTACAGACATCAAAAACACATGCACATGAAAAAGTCTAATTCAAGCTCAACATTGCATGCACCGTGCTGCCCTTTAATTGCATATGTATTTTAAACAGTCTATACATTTTAAAAACTGAGATCACATTTCACCTGTGGATGCATGGACACACATAAAGAGAGAGAAACACAAGCTCTCCTAATCTCTCACATGCATAAACGTTAACTCTTGTTACCCTAAATGCATAAGGGATTGACAATTTTACTAATTTTTTAGCTAATAAGTCCACATGCTAGTGTAAATACCTGGCACTGGTGAAATCAGGATTTAAATGTTTAAATTCACTGCAAAGGCTTTTCCAAACCTGTTTGACTTTTTCTTTCTTCTGTTGAATATAAAATATGATGTTTTGAAGTTTGGTTTCAAGTCCAAATGTCTAAAAATATTGCAAAACACATTGTCTTGTTTTAAGAAGTAATATATCAAAACTAAGTGAGATTTCCCTTAAAACAAGCTAAACAATCTGTCAATGGGGTAAGCAAAAGAATCTTGATTTTCCTTCTGGCATAAGATTATTTTGCTTCCCGCATTGGCAGATTATATAGCTTGTTTTAAGGAAAAACTCACTTTATTTTGGCATAGTATTTCTTAAAACAAGACAATATGTTTTGCTTGTCTAGAAAAGGCTTCTTGATTTTAGAATTTTTAGATATTTGGACTAGAAACAAGACAAAAAATCTAAGAAAGAAACACATTTATTGCAGTGGAATGTGTGATCGTGAAATATTTTGTTTTTGCTTTTAAATTTATGGTAAAAGCATTGACAGCTTAAGAAAATACTGTACATGTAAGATCTTAAAAGTATTTAAAGTAAGCTGATCTCAGGTATTATCAGAGAGAGAACACACCTTTTAATAATTTGACAGTTAATATTGGCAAAAGAAAAGTAAAGTAAAATATTTTGATTGCACAATGATAAGAAATCATGATTTTTCTGCAATATAAGATCCTTTTTTACATAAAAAAATGTATCAATATGGCATGTAACATCTTGTGATCTATTAAGTAACATTTTAAAAATAACAAAAACTTTAACCTTTTTTTTTTGTAAAGCTGAAATAAAATGATTGTTTTATATACCAAATGTACCTGCAATTATAGAATCACCCGTACACTCAACAAAACAAGATAGTAAAGTAACAAGTAAGTCAATATCCTCTGTATATGTATATTTCACAGGTTAAAACGATGCAGAATCTGAAGCGGAAAGCAGAGATTCAGTGTCTGGCGTCCATCGCTCCTCATTTCCTCACGCGTGTTTACCTTCCGAATAAACTCCGCTATGGAGGCTGGATATGAGCATCTGCTGCCCTCTGCTGTAACATACACGCATGTTCTGCATGATTGAACACCACAGTTGTGAAGGTGTGTTGTCACTTGATTTTAAATGAGCTGTTCTTTCACTGTAGTGTGAGTTATGAGCTTGAATACGCCATTAATCACTTGATTTCTGTTCTCTGATGTCACATATTTGTTGCTTTGGCTTTGGATGTAACGCAATAATCTAAGCCGTTCCATTTGAATTTATCGTTATTTATCATAGGTCACTTGAAATTCCTTTTAAAGCTTTTGAAACACTCGAGGATGATTAATGTTTACAATAAAGAATAAAAAATACTTTAACATAAATCAAAAGATCTATTTTTTGCTAAACATTTTACAACACTTTTCACAAAAACACATTCTCCCATGTACAATATAAAACATTTGTTCTCCAATTTTCACACAGTACCTTTGTAATCACCTAAAAGTTAATTTAATTTACTTATTTTAAAATAGACATAGAAGTATGCAAAAGTATTGTAATGAGATGTACAATGTTTGATTAGTTTTACAATACTAAAATGTCTGCATGAACACTTTGCATATGCAGGACTTTTGCCAGCTCCCGTGCGTAGTGGAAAGCAAACGCCAAAAGGTGCAGATATCAATAAAGAAAATGTATTTATATGAAAATGCTTACCAAGCGTTTATTAAAAATACCTTAAATGTTTAGTTTACAAAACCTATATCTTTATGTTTTGCATTATAGAACTCAATAATTAGAGGCGACGCAGTGGCGCAGTAGGTAGTGCTGTTGCCTCACAGCAAAAAGGTCGCTGGTTCGAACCTCTGCTCGGCTCAGTTGACGTTTTTGTGTGGAGTTTGCATGTTCTCCCTGCGTTCGCGTGGGTTTCCTCCAGGTGCTCCGGTTTCCCCCGCAGACCAAAGACATGTGGTACAGGGGAATTGAGTAGGCTAAATCGTCCGTAGTGTATGAGCGTGAGTGTGAATGACTGTGTGGATGTTTCCCCAGAGATGGTTTGCGGCTGAAAGGGCATCCGCTGCATAAAAATGTGCTGGATAAGTTGGCGTTCATTCCGCTGTGGTGACCCCGGATTAATAAAGGAACTAAGACGACAAGAAAATGAATAAATGAATGAATGAACTGAATAATAGTTAATAATTTTCTTTAAACATATGCTTTTAAATGATGATTCATGTTTAATATGGAATTTATTCATAAAAACCACTTTGCCTTTCCAGTAATATTTATTTTTATAGATATTATAATGAAGGAGTTGTCCAACACTTATTTACCTTTTTATGAAAATAATTGTGTACCTTAATTTCATTTGTACCATAAAAGGTACAGAAAATTATCATTAGAGGTCTTTTCTGTACCGTATAAGGTAAAACTTTTACAAATGTACAAAACTGTTTCTTAAGGAACATTATTTTTACCACAGTGTAGTAGCACTACCTACTGCATTGCCTTCCCTTTAATATGCTATACTTAAATATCACAGTGTTCCATTTTAGTAAGTATTTTTTCACATTGTTATCCTGCAATGTCCTAAACTTATAACAAGTTGCATTGGTATTTTATTACAGTTAATAATAGAAAATAAATGGCAGCAGCCTTCCAACTAATGTGTCTTAGGCTAATCACATCTCTTCATCTCTCTAAAAAAAAAAGGCTTATATTAATTTTGCTGGACATCTGCTCAGAAATGCAGGGCTTTTTATCATTTTGAGTCTAGAAGTATTATTAAGTTGCTAATCGTTGCCATCTACATTTTCAAAGTAATTAAAAAGTCCTAAGAGAGTCTGAAAAGTTAGCAAGAAAACTTTCACGTTGTGAACACTGCACCAGAGGGTGCTGTTTTATGTTTTATTCTACAAGTTTAAAGGGTTAGCTCACCCTTAAAATTAAAATCACCTCAAAATTAAAATGTCCTTACAATTACTCGCACTCGAGGAAACTTTGAGTTTCTTTCTTCAGTTGAACACAAAAGAAGATGTTTTGAAGAATGTTGGCCATTGACATCCATAGTAGGAATATAGTACTATGGAAGTTGTACACAACATACTTCAGTGTATCTTCTTTTGTGTTCAACAAAACAAAGAAACTCAAATAGGTTTGGAACAAGTGGAGGATGAGTAAATGACGACAGAATATCATTTTATGGTGAACTATCCCTTTAACCCTATAAAATACTGCTGCATTTGATTTGATAGGCAAATTATTAATGTCTCTATCTGATGAACATCAACAAGTTTTGCTTAACCACTTGTGCACAATATACTACATGCTTTTGGTGATAGTATATACTATTTTAAAGCAAGAAACAATATTTTTTTATAAATGTAATTGTAAAAATATCCCGCATCATCTTATTTAAGATTTTTTAAAGATTTATTTAATTTTATTTAAAATGTATTGGTTTATAATGCCTCTATGGCACCATTACCTCGTAATTCTTTTCTTTTATCAAAATACATTTCTTCATCTACACCATCTTTATCTTTTGGTTTGGCAGTTAAAAGTAAAATATGTGAAACTACATGAAGTTTTTCAATTCTCTTTTTCATTTTGTGGTTTCATTTTTTTTTTTTGTCTAATTTCAACCTTTTTCATTTCTATTCATAAGTGCGATGTATTCAGTGCATTTTCTGTTTGTTTTTGTTTTTTGATTTCCTAATTAAGTGTTCATATGTCTTGGGAAGGCAGGAAATATGCAAATACAGGGCCGGAGTGGGACTCATTTTCAGCCCTGGAGTTTCAACCAGACCAGCCCAACTCAGTTCACGACTGACTATATTAAAAAAAGTCATTTCTAATTCAGTTTCTAATGACACTATCACGTCTTTTTCAAGAAAACAGCTGCCTTAGAAATTCAAATGTTCGAAAGCCCTAAAAGTTTTATATGTCTTAACAATAAAAATGAAAAAAATAAATAAACAATAGTTTTCCTGGTGAGATTTGAATACGGGTCGGCGGCGTCATAATGCAACGTGTTTACCACTGGTCCACAATAGTGCTATTACAGCGAGGATAAAAAATAAGTATTGAACTGTGGTGACCCGCAAGACACGGTATTACTTTCGATTGATGGCTTAATCTTTTTCTCTCCTTTTTAAATTTCTGATCAATTTATGTCAGATTTATTTATGTAGTGAATCATCTGATTTTCATTGAGCAGGTGTAATATTCATTAATATCAATTATTCTAATTCGCTGTTTGGGGTTTGAATGATGATAGTTAACGTTACATCATCATTAACGTTAGTTAACCTGCTGGCTGTATTTTGCTTACGGGGCTGCGAGAAAATAAATAAGAAGAGCGGCGCTGCGGCAAAATAATGAATCAAAAGAGTGAAGCTATGGTCAAATAAATAAATAGATGAAAAAAAAGTGCCACTGCTGAGAGTGCAAGCAGCTAGGGACACCGGCCCTCACGGCCAAAAAACGGACCGGTCCATCTGGAATTCTCCCGGTGCTCCCGATTAGCCAATCCGGGCCTGTGCAAATATGTTACTGTGATCATGTTTATAGGCCCCATTTACACTAGATACGTTTTAGTTTTAAAATGGCATTTTAGAATGAAAACAATCAGTGTCCACACCAGCATTTTACCCAGCGTTTCTGAACAACTCTGCGGCTACACCACGCCACTGAAAACGCACATCACGTGACCACACACACACACACTGACACACACAGTCTGGCATGCGCTGCGGCATATCTAGCCAGATGTGAGACCTGTGCTCGTCGGATTGTTCATCAAGGATCTATCTCACTTTATTTGTTAAACGAGATATTTAATTAATCTTGTTGACTATATCTAACGACATATTCCCAGACTTTGGTCATTTGAATCTATAACTTGTTCTCAGGTAATGTGTTTTGGCTGAGAGCAAAGATAAGTAAATAATGTAACCACGTACATTCCGTATATTGACTGATTGTTTGCCTTTATTTCCTATAATGTATAAACTCATGGTACGTTATACTTTCATAATGGTAATATATATCATATAATAATCAATAATGGGATTGATTATTAAAATTGATATTCAGCAAAAGAGAGGGTATGTTTCATATTTTCAATGAAAATGAAAGGAGCCAGTGATGTCACAGGCTCCATTTTGTTATAAATATGCATACAATGAAGATGACGCTCATATAAATATGTAGCCACACGACGCCTCAACATTTCTGCCGTCTGCTAAGCTGCTAATATCAAAATGAATATTTTAAATGAATATGAAAATGAATAGCAACTCCTTATATTGCATGTTTTTATTTTATTATTAAGATCCACGGTGATGTGATCCAGGGTGATGTGAATGAGGTTATAAAGTACACTGTTACCTTTGAGGATTTACCTGACGTGTCCTCTGGAGTTTGTTTTCCATATCACACTTGCTGAACTTACAAGAGAGAGAATACAGAACTCTAACTGTGTGTAGGCTACTTAATATTGAGGAAAAGCCCCAATCAGATGTCTGCAGCCCCGCCTCCGTTTTCAGATGTCTCCATTTTCCCCTATCCACACTAACGCGAAGTAGCAGCGTTTTAGAATGAAAACGGCCTCTTCAGCGTTTTCAAAACTCTCCGTTTTCGGCGCTCGAAAACTCCGGCGTAGTCTGCATGGATGGCGTAACCGTAGCAAAACTTAACTGTTTTAAAACGAAAGCGCATTAGGGTAAACAGGGCCTTAGTGTATTGCATAGTATTGCACGTTTGCACCTGATACGAAACCCTTGTGATTATTGTATTCGCCAGCTACCAAAGTGGTTTTCTATATGTTAATTGTTTGATACCCCTTTTTCCATATTTAATAAGGGTTATTTATACATTATTTATATATTTCTATATTTTCTTTCTAACAAACTAACCGTACGTTCACACCGAAAGCGGCGAGAGCGTCAAAGTAGCCGGAAGTCATTCATTTTCAATGAGAGCCGGCGGGGATAAGCGGCGATGAGCAGCGCGGCGCGTCTTCGCCGGCGTGAGCGTCGAGGAGAGTTGAAATAAAGTCAACTTTATGGTAATGAGCTATGACGCGGTTCGGCGGCAAGCAATCAGAATGAAGACGTCCATCGCTTGATAGCAGTTCAGAGAACACAGACCTGTAAACTTTGGTTCCGACCACAGTTGTTCCCAAGGGTTTGATTATTGCGGTCGCCGGATTTCCAATTATTTACAATTTTTTCCTACAGGAACATACATTAAATAAGTTACTGGCGAGTT